GTTCGAGTGACAGATTGCAGTAGATGGTGTAGTTGCGCTCAAATGCTAGCTGGTGAACGACAAACTGCTAGTAAAGGCAGGACCATGTTCCCGGATGAAGGCATACCAAAGAGTGTGCTTATAATCAAATTCATCGAAACTTGTTGTATAAGAACATCCATGCGAACACACATAGGTGTCAGATGTATTTCAGGACGGAGCTCCTATAGTCGGGTATGAAACTATGGTCTCGTTAGCTTGCCGACGGAAAAGCCTCCCAAAGGGATAGGTGGAAGGCCACCGAGCCACACGACACTTCTGATCGTTACCCGCGACGAGCGACGGGAGTCCATGGTTGCGGTTCCTCAGGAGCCTTATTAGCAGCTGCCCACGGGTCATACGCTTCAGTGTTAGGCTTTCGATAGTCTGATTGTGTCTCCTTTGGTTGCAAGAGAGGCTCCACAGGTTTCGGTATGTCAGCGCTCTGCGAATGCGGAAGCACAGAAGTAGTCTGAGATGCCAGGCGAAAGCGTTCTTCCTTTTCCTTTTCCTCGAGTCTGGCAGCGTTTAATTGCACCCGTTTCCGATGTGCTAAGTCTGCATGGAGCTCCTACCCATGTATGCCAACAAGTGCATTGTGATGTCCGGTGACGAAGTGATAGATCGATGAAAATATAGCATACCTCTATCGTCGGAGGGTCACGTCTAGTATGCGTTAACCAGGATGACCATTGCACTGGAACAAAACGAGCATGCCATCAGCTCTTTTTTTGTTGATTAAGAAGAGTAAAAATTATTCGCACCTGGTAAGCGTCTGCCGCTAGCCACGTAAGCTAACATATCATCGTCGCTGATGTACCGTATAACGCGTTTCGGACGGTCTATTGAGTCTGTGTAAATGAGCAGGAGAGGGTAAGATCGGTGTGACTGACTGACCACCGCCCCGGTTAGGGAACTCGAAATACCGATTTCCTGGAGTGATTCGTTAGTCCAGTCCGAGCCAGACTGCGCCGTCAGGCAGCAACGCACCTTCCAAATCTTTGCCTACAAGGTATGGCTTCCTTGACACGTCAAAATAGAGACACCGACTTAGGTGTGGTATGACTTACCCGCCAGAAATGCTGCTGCCATATTCTACGTAGGAAGGACATGTTCGAGTGAAGAAAGGCTTGCTTGGGATGTGGAAACTGTGACACGGCGCGGAAGTGACATCTAACGCATAGAAGGTGACCGAGTAACGGCGCTTACTTCTGCGACTTGGTGCGAGAATTGCACTGCTAGACAACGTTGGCTCTATAGCTCAGTGGTAGAGCATACGATTGCAGATCGTGCGGTCCCGTGTTCGAACCACGGTGGGGCCTTCTTTTTTCTTGCATCCCCCGGCCGCCAACTTGCCATCGCTGTGTGATTGCAACCCACTGCATTACAATACGTAGAGAGGGACGTTGTTGTAATAGTAGGTATCTGTAGTAGCAACGGCTTTACGTTGAATTTTTGAGCGTCCTTTTCCGCTGACTTGATTTGACTGCTACTTGAAAGTGACACGTCAACGCGCGAAACGAAAGTAGACGTTCTCCTCAACGTCAACCATGATACCGCGCATTACACTTCACTTCACTTGGCTGGTTCTTGCCATCTGCGTCCATGCTGGTTCGCTGTCCCTTCAGAATCCTCGATTCACCATAACCTCTTCGACAGCAGCCCAGCTGCGTGCAGACACGTATGTAGACCAGAGCCGTGGATGCCCCGCAGCACTTGACAGCCAGTCTCAACAGCCTCTCGCTCGCAGGAAAACCAGAGCCTTTGCAGCTCGGGCCTTCTGACACGTTGAAACTCACATTCCAGATAACAGAAAACAGCGAGGGCAAGGGTGTGCAGCCTCACCAGACGTTCCTTCGCTTCTATGACAGTGCCTCCGGAGAGGAAGGTATACAACCCGTCCGAGTCACTCCAGGAGGAAAGGCGAAATTTGAACTGGTCTGTTCTTAGCTGTGGGTGCCACGTATTTAAACTAATGCACTAGAAGAATATGGCACGCCCTCCGGCATCTTTGCCACCTACTGCCGACCACCCACTGGAGGTATCCCTCATACTTGGTTCTTTTGTACACGAACCCACGAAATTCGACCTGTTTGACCTATACGTGCCGCCGTCGCACGCGCCTGCACCACACCCCGACGAGGCCAAGTTCCACGAGTTGCCATTAATTCACCATACCTTCCGTCCCGAACAGAAACTCCCTCCAAAATTCGTGTCGGCAGTATTTGCAGCTCTCGTGCTCTCCCCGTGGCTGGTCTTACTTGGTTTGGTGAGTGTGCCCAAGGACACTAGGCGATTCATCTTTGACGCCTTTGCATAGTGGAGTAAAATAGGTCTGCGGGTGCCGCATCTGTTCTCTCTCCGTATCATACCCTTCACTGCCCTGCTCGGCGCTTTCGAGGCCCTTCTTTGCTGGTACTGGATAGACCTCAAGCTCGGCGAAGTTTTGCTTTATGGGGGGATCCTCGCCGTCCCAACCATTTTTGCTGGTAAGACGGCACTAGCAGCAACGGGAGGATGGAGGACAGGGAAAAACTGAGCATTGTGGATCAGCGTACATGCGCCACGCATATGTTGTCACTCTTTAGACTCGCAATCCCCACCTTAGTTAATGTTGCTTTTCCCTAAGAGCCTGGAAGCCGTGTGACATTTTTGACGCTCGATACGAATGGTCTGTAATGTAACACAGGAAAGTTGCACCTCGAGAACGTTGAAACGTTGATTGTTGTAGGCACGATGATTTTGACCAGTGAAAGTTCCAGAAAGGTGTCGCGCTGGACGAGACGCAAGAGTCCACCTGACGTGATCCGATATAGCCACGCACACAGCTGGAGGTGTGCCTCAGGCCACCTTGTTATCTTACCACCACCATCGCTGGCAGTCGAGCTTATTTAGCTCGTCTCAGCCAGTTCAGAAGGATACACAAACAATCCTTCTATTGTCAGTGTCCGCAAACCGATGGCTGCGTCGAGTCGATCAAGGAGTACCTCTTCTCAGTGGACCACCACCCCCACCTCCTTCGCCACCCGATGTCAGCGCATGTAGAAAGTGTGGGAAGGAATTCGGTATTCTCTTTAATCGTCAGAGAAAATGTATGCATTGCGGTATGTCATCGCTCCTGCCTTCGTGTGAAGCGCTTGTCTTATCTTCTTGATCTCTCAGGATATACTTATTGCACTAGCTGTGCGGACTATCAGGCCCTGATGCCTCGTCCTGGTCCAGCGCGTGGTCATGATCTTGCGCATGTGTGTGCGTGCTGCATCGAATTGCTGAATGGTATGTGTGAACATTCCACACGTCACTGCAGCTCCATCATCCATTCACAACGTATGTTGCGTGGTATTTAGTAACCTCCCTCGGGAGAAACCAGCTTAATCGGCTACCTCTTTCTAAACTCAGGCGCTATGTCGACGCCTACAACATTCCGCTCAAAGGAGCAGTGGACAAACTCGACATCATTGACGCATTGATAGCCACTCGGGTTCGTCTTGTGGTTCTCATCCTATGTGTTGTTTCCTTTTTGGTTTCCTTGGGACGTAACGCAGTCTAACTTTTTTTCCCCCTTCATCAGACGCCACAAGGATGTCTCCCTGCGGCAAATGAGGCATACTACCGAAAACACGCAGTGCCGAAGCATTCCAGCCGGGGTGGCTCTTCTCATCCGTCTGCAACAGCATATGCTCGGAACTTATTTAATCGTGCCACGTCAAACAATCCGCCTCCCACCACCTCTAGGACAGGCTCAGGTCATGCAGGAAACAACAGTCGCACGTCAAATAACGCAACCAATCACGGTGCTAATCCGAGAGCGCAAGCATTCCCTCGCCCAGATCTTGATGCAGTGTATGGTCATCCAGAAACAAATCGTAGACCGTATGCTTCGCAGTCTGCACCTGCAAGCGGTGGAAGGGCTCGAGCGACTTCGAGTTATGGTTCCCCGCGAACTCCAAACAACGCACGGTCTCAAGCGCCACATGAACATCCTCGTGCCACCAGTTTCTCTCGACCAAATCATCCTACTTCCGATCGTCCAACCCCAACCCCTCCCGCGCCGGCTGCACCCGTCGCCCCGCCCCCGCTCGAGACGTTGCTCACTCGGCCTCGTTCTTCCATCTCGACGTTGTCGGTAGCCGTGCTTAAGAAGATTCTGTGGGAAGCACATGTGAGGATACCGCCTGGTGTCTGCGAGAAAGAGGACCTGGTGGACCGGGTTTGGACATTTCTAGAGGAGGAAAGAAGGAGAGTGGATGGTAACAGTGACGAAGACTATCCTGAAGGTTTTGAGTCGGAGGGATCCGATGCACAGCCAGGACTTGCGGACCCTGGATACGGGTCACCTTCTGGCAGCGACCATAACAATGACCACATCTACGATGAGCTAGGTGTGCTTGGGCCCGAAAGAATGGGCGGAGATGATGGGCACCTGTATGAGATAGGCGCAGGCTCGCGATCGCGGGCGGGAACACCATATCCATTGGGGTCACAATCGCAGAGCGGTGAGCTGCACACGTCAACTGATTCGATGCGTTCGAAGGCCAAATCGCAGCATGGCAAACACGTGGAGACAGAACGTTCTGGTTTATGTGTTATTTGCCAAGATGCGGAAGCAAATATTGCGATCGTTGATTGCGGGTATGCTCCCCCCTCTGATTACTTATCTGGGTTTCTAAGGTTCAATGTTGCAGGCATCTTGCCATGTGCCGTGAATGTTCTGACCTGGTCATGCAAAGCTCAAGGGAATGTCCCCTATGTCGCACGCGGATAGTTACAGAAGCTCGCCTTCTGAGGATATTCAAGACTTGATAATCTCGTGGTAATAAAGGTTTTCAAATACCATTGGATACTGGTGACAATAGCTATTTCCTTGGTGTCTTGTCCAGTAACTTGCTATTATTTTGATACGGTGCCCATGATAACTTGAGAGATGTGGCCTAATGACTACTCCCTTACTTACGCTGAGAAGTGAAACAACTAGCACCGAAGGTCTTGTAGTGTAGCGGTTATCACTCAGGATTCTGATGCCGGATTTCCTGAAACCCAGGTTCGATTCCTGGCAGGACCTGTATTTCTTTTTTTTCTCGCTCACAGTGGCCCTTCATTTGGATGGGGGAAAAAGTCGAGCATCTTGTGGTTACGCAGAGCAAGCATTGCTGGCCCTTCCTCCCCTGGAGTGCAATGTTGGCACAACCGTCGTGAAGGGGATTAATACGCGATCACGTGACTCGTCGCGTCGAAGTTGGTCGAAGGACGTTTTGCCTTCTACTTATCATTGTTCACGGTCCAGCCGCTATTCTGACTTTCAGCGAACTAAACAAGCATACCAAGTTCATTGCGGGTGGCAGCGGGAACAGAAAGGGTGTGGCACCTTTGGCAAGTTTTGACAGCAGTCACCCCAGTTGTCGTACTGAACCGTACGACACACTCTCCAGACTGCCCAGTCGTCGTATATACACCTGGTCATCCACAGGTTCACATACACACATAGCGTCACAATAATCTAGGACTTTATATTCATGACCACCGCTCACAGGATCAAGATTGCGGCCCGCGTTCGACCACGGCTGGAGCACGAGATCGACGACGAGGGCATACAAGTCTCCCATACGCCGGGGAGTCTGTCCTGTATAAATGTTCCTAATCCGCGTGATTTGTCGCAAATATTCAATTTCCCGTATGTCTTCCATCCCTTGGGTTTGGGGCTGCCATGTTCTGATTTGCCACTGCAGCCTTTCGTCTTGCTACGACCAGAATTCGACACAAGAAGAGATTTTCGAGCGTGACGTACGGCCACTGATCGATGTCGTTTACAGCGGTGTCGTGCGTATTCCATCGATATTCCTTGTCCAGGCCTATCTTACGACGCTTAAATTCTATCACTCTTTTTTCGAATGTCTTGCAGACCGTCACCATTTTCGCATATGGTGTCACCTCTTCGGGAAAGACTCATACGATGCAAGGCACCAAGACAGAGCCTGGTGTCATTCCCCGTGTTGTCGAGGTCTGTCTTTGTGAATGCCTTCGCCCTTTGTTTACGAAAACCGTCTTGTAGGCAATGTTTCAACAAAAGGCTTCCCTCCAGAAATCTAGAGTTGAGCTTTCCGTATCCTACATGGAAATATACAAAGACGAGGTCTACGATCTCTTTGTCAATCGAGAGACGGTGAGCTTACTTCTTTGCAAGTGCTTTGCAGCCGATATCTTGTTCGCGTCATGAAACGAATCCTCACCATTCATTGAACATGCGAGGCTGATTCATCTACGCTTAGGCTCCGAAACTTCCCGTGCGGGAAAATGATGCCGGCCAGGTCTTTGTTGCGAATTTAACCTCGCTACCAATCCAATCTGTGGATGAGTTTGATGCAATATATTCGTATGTTTGATTACGGACCCGTTCATCGTGACGTAGCTCGAGCTGAATTTTACAGACGGGCCTCTCGACATCGTTCCGTTGGCGCAACGAATCTTAATCGTGCTTCCTCTCGTTCACATGCAGTCCTCACCCTCGAAGTAACGATGACGGACTCAACGGCGCAGAAGAGTGAGTAAACTGCGCCGTGGTTAACCTCATACATTTGATAATGCGCACTGAGCGCAGCTCTCGCTGGGAAGATGAACCTCGTCGATTTGGCCGGTTCCGAGAACAACAAGCTCACTGGAAACGACCCAACGCGTATGGCAGAATCAGCTGCCATCAACAAGAGCTTGAGTGTTTTGGGTCAGGTTGTCCATGCACTCAACCAAGGAGCGGTGCGTGGTTCCTGCCCAGTATACGCTGCCATTCGAATCACGAGATCAGTCTCGCATACCGTACCGCAATTCCAAGCTCACTCGAATCCTACAAGATGCACTGGGTGGTTCCTCTGTTGGACTGCTGATATGTAACATAGCACCTGGAGTCAAATTCAGGCAGGACACGCTAAATACCCTCAAGTATAGGTTCCTTCTGTGTGACAAGCGATTAGCTAATGCATTTCCAGTTTCGCTGTGCGTACTAAGAATGTCGAGAACAGGCCCGTCATCAACGAACGCGGTGCGCGCTCCCCTTTTGACTTTGTGCTTTTCTCATAAACTGGGGCTCTTTCACGTTTTCAGATAACCGACCACAAACCAAGCCACACTTTGCTGCCGTTCAACCTCCACCACCCAAACTTGCACCTGCTGTGCTCAACTCTGTTCCAGTGCATGCTTCCTCCACAGTCGCGGTGACGACTACCACGAACACTACGGCGGTAGTCGGTCCATCCCGTGGTCCACGTCCATCACGGGTTCCTCGTCCAAGTAACGTGGGTACGGGACTTGTACCTCCAGGCCACTCCAGGCCATCTTCTCGTCATTCGTCGATCCTCCAGAAGCCGGATTCTACTGTGCAATTGACCGACAAGGAAATTGACGAAAGAGTGAGTACCTTCAGCATGCTTGAGCTCCTTTTTTTGATCAATTTGATGACGGAAACTTGCCTCAGATCGCAAGAGCAGTGGAGGCAGAAGTCACGCGACGTCTCAAGGAGCGTGAAGAACGCGAGCGGGAGGAACAGACTCGCCTTCAACAAGAGAAAGAGAATATTGCATCAATGGCGAAACAAGCAACAGAAAGGGAGAGACCAGAACAGAAGCTACCCTCTGGCGTATTGACCCCGTTGCTAAAGCGACATCGCGACTTGGACGAGGAGCTCCGTTCAAGACTTGCGGAACTTGAACAGAAGTAGTGCGTCTTCAGCCCCTAGGTATTGACCGTCAGATGGAAGCGCTCATACCACGGCAGTGAGCGTGGAAACAAGGAGCTGCAGCTTGTGGATGTCCTCTCTCCCTCCTCTAGGAAGAAGACCGGACGAGCATATGTCGCCCTTGCCCGAGCTCATTCTGAGAAGTTCGTTCATATTCTGATTTTTGCCTGTGTTTGCGCTCAATCTAATCGAAACGTTGGACAGGGGTGATCTTGAAGTGGCCCTCGAACTTTACCGTAAGGCCGAGACATATGTCCCGGATAACGTCAAGCTCAGAGAGAGGTGGATACTTTTCATTATCAATGTTTTCCTATGTAAACTATGCACGAGCGGAACCCAATTCTGACTTATTTTTCCTTCATGGTTTTTCTCCTGCATGTACATCGGTGTTGGCCCATGCGCACACTCGTCCTCACGACTGAATACGTACGTCGACTGGACCGTTGCCCGTCGTAGAGTCCTCGAAATCGAATGGGCGGTCAAGAATGGGAAGGAGTTCATTCCAACGCCGAAGAAATCTCGCAAGGTTAGGGGCAAGAAACGCAAAGTCGCCATTGAACGCACACGCGAAGGCCCTTCTGTGGACTACGACTCGGTCAGTCGGACGACTTTGGATGACCAGGAAGGAAAGGTCGGGAGCAGTGGTGCAGAACCCAGTAGGACTGGGATTCTCGACAAGGTGAAGGAAGAGGAATATGAGGGACAAGCAGTGAACCTGGAGACACCAGCGAAGAAGTCCAGGTGCGAGATCAAGGTGGAACCTTAGGGCGTCAAAGTTGAGCGTTACGTTCTACATATTGGGGGTTGAAGGAGAAGGGGGCATTTCTGGGTGGCCCGATACAGTCTGGACGAGCCTTATTTGTGCATTATATCGCCACATGCAATGCTACTACTGCATCAGTCTTCCACGATCACTCGGAAGGGTGTTCAGATACTTAAGATTAGATCGTACACGGTGAGAACACAACACATGGTATAAATATCAGCATCACCGTGAAAAAAAAAATCAGGATCGTAAGGATATGTTACAATAGCCAAAATCATAAATGGCTGAGTGTTATCCGATCTCGTCGAAATTATTGCCGGTAACCGGTAAATACGTACATTCGTAGCACTTTTTTCTCACTCCCAAGTTTTGTAGCACTCGTGCGTGCCAGTCATAGGTTCATTAACCGCGTGACCTTCTACTCCATATTAAAGAGGTCGTCGTCATCCGCGGTTGTTACTGGCCGGCCTAATGGGCTAAAGTTGCCGTGTTTATGCCACTGCCTATCATTATTCGTCGTGGACTGCGGTGACGTACGACGGGGCGAGTGCGCTGTCGGGAGACGGGAGAACATGGACTCGAGTCCAACCACGGAGGACGGCAATGGAGCGGGACCAGGAGAAGGAGTGGCTGTCGCTTCCTGGCGAGAGGAAAAGGAGAGGTGTGAAAAGGTTTCCGTCGGAATGTGAGAGTGGTTGGAGAGCCAGTCTTGTCCCACACTCAACCCCGTGCTTGAACCCGCGTTAATCCCGAAAGGCACTTGTCCCTGACCAGGACTGAACGCAACACTGCCCGCGGATGTTCCAAGGGACCCAGGAGACACAGCAACCGGAAGGGCGTGGATGCGAGAGTAACCCGCTGCGAGACCCTGAGGGAGACTTTGACCTGGTGCGTGAGCCTGGAGAGCTCGGATAGAAGGAGATAATGACTCTCCGAGACCGGCTCCAGTACCGGTTCCCACTCGCCCCTCGTCGGTAATAGGTGTGTGCGAAGGAGTGTTCGAAAGAGGGGACCGGCTCAGTCCACTTAACCCGCCCAAACCTCCACTAATCCCCAGCCCATTTGCATTTGAGGACGCGCGTGTATTAGTCGCGTTCATCTTAGAATAGTAGTGGTGGAGACCTGGAAGGAATGCGGCAGATGCATTAGAAGGCGCAAGCAAAGACGGCGATGGCGAGTGGGGATCGTCCGAAAAAGGGGTTGCCCCAAATGGAGAAGGAGTAGTTGCACTTGGTCCGCCTAAATTGGAACTTGGTGCCCCGAAGCCATTTGTGGATATGATAGAGCTTGGTGTACCCGAGCCGATCGCACCTACGCCAAAAGCATGTCTGTCAGGGGACCCAGGCAACCCATTGCTTGCAGTCGCACGATCTGCCCAAATAGACTTGACGTCGCCAAGAAGCGAAGGGGCTGGTACAGAGCGAGAGTAGCGGTGGTGCGGCTGATGACCCTGAGTTTGGGGATTGTGCTGGGGATGGGACACGTCACCCAGGTTTGCCGGACGGGAAGAATTGGAGTGAGTGCGAGACATGCGACGGGAGCGTTCAGAAGGTGTGAGTAGGTCAGTGAGGGA